ACTCTGGGGCAAGTGATAGTCTCTCATCTTGGTGCTTGGGGGGGTCAACAGTGGGAGGGCTTCTAATGTCCTGGCCCCATTGGTGGACCTCCTGATGGCACTGGTATTTCTGGCCACTGTGTGATACGGAGTGTTGGACTGGATGGGCTGAACCAACATTGGCATCTCTTATGTTCTTATGTTCTAACACATTCCCAAGTGAGAGCACCTGTGTGTAGGGGGGAATGAGACCATCCCTAGAATTTTAGGTTTCGTTCCTCTAAGCTCACAAACAAGTATTATGGGATAGTTGGTCACCCTGGTTACGAACAAGGTTGACATCACTTTGCTGGACTGTGAATGGTCAACAGGCCTGGATCATTCGCAGCCCCTTTTCCTATAAAGTAACTTGGTGTTTAATGGCCATTAGGGACTGCTTGGGTATTTTGGCCAGGCTGGTCAATACTTCTAGCAACCCCACTATGCCTTGATGGCTTGAAGACCACCCGGATGGGATGTGCACTCTGTATCTAAATACTTTGTACCTTGAACCTTAAAACGGGTAACTGCTTGTAAACTGCTTGTAAGTATTAGCTATGCTGGAAAAGCCTAGATTTATTGTTTTGTCCTTCACTGCCTAAAGTCTTGTGTTTTATAACTTTGCACAATTTACTTAAATAAAGAAACTTATATTTTTACTTTGGACTGGGTTATTGGCCTCACGAACTTCAAAGCCTAAATCTTGTACCTTAGACTGCAAGGTGTTTCTACTACCAATGTGTCTTTGTTCAACTCTGTGGTGGAGACTGCAGATTTGTTCTTGGATTTGTGTCCCAGAGTCAGCCTGGAGATTTGGGTTACTTTGCTCCAGTCCTGTTGGAAACTCTTAAAGTAACCTGGTGGCAGACTACCTTTGATAAAGTGCTTGTGTTATCTGTTCCTTGAACCCAGACTGTGGCCCTGGAGAGGACCTGGTCTGTGACACTCACTCACAACTTTAATGCCAGGCGCTCACAAAGTAGAATTTTTGCTCACAAGACTCCACAGCTTAGAGGGAGTGTTGCTAGCATGTAATTGTAGAAAACAGCAGAAAAATGCCAAGGGGAGACCATCAAAGATTATATACACTTGAAATGTCTGAGTATATGATATACTGAATAAGTGTTTAAATTACAAATAAACTTCTATAATGAGTTGGTGGTCCACAATCCAAAACAAATACAATGTTCCCAAATATAATCACATGTGTTCATCAACACTGAGATACAAATAAATGTAACAGTAATTGTGCTCAGAGGCGCTGATAACAAGGTATGCTCATAAATCCAACAGGTTGATTCTCCTTGCTTAAATGCAATAAAACTGTCTGAAGACTTCCAACAGTCATAAATAAAGCAGAGGGCAACCACTGAAAAATCTCCTATAGCCGAATGCCTTTCCCAGGTATATGAACATTTCAGTTTCTCTTCTGATTAAGCGGTTGAATAATGGAACCCAATTTCAAAGAAAATTACATGGACTACCAGTTCTTTTAGCTATACTGAATCCCAGGGATGACTGTTGGCAAGGCCGGCTCACCTGCTAGGCGAACTAGGTGCTCGCCTAGGGCGCGCCGGCCCTCAGGGGCACCAAACTGTGCCCCGCCCCCCCCGCACCAAAGGGATGTGTCCGCGTGGCTGGTGGGCCACCAGAGAGCCCCGCCTGGCCTTGCCTTCCCCGGCTGGCGGGGGGTGATGCTGCTGTGCGCCACAGCCAGAGCAGGCCCCTTTCGGGGCACCCTCCTCCCGCGACGGTCCCGTCCGCCGAGCCCCGGCAGGCAGGCAGGGCAGAGGGGCGCCCCCTGCCCGCTTTCTCCTCTCTCCCCTCTGGGGCGCTGCCGGAGCGCCACAGTGCTTCCCCCTCCTCCCTCCACAAAGGCAGGGAGGGAAGCGGCGTGCCCGGCTGGGAGCCTGGAGCTGCCAGGGGGGGGCGCTGGCCGCTTCGGGGCCCCGCCTGCCGAAAGAGCGCGTGGCTGCCTGCGCCTCGCCTGGGGCCTTCCCGGTGCAGGTGGAACATCGGTTCACCCGCGGAGGCACAGCGGGGCTCTGGCAGTGCGCTCGGCTGGGTGAGCTGAAGCCAGGGAGGAGGACCCCCTGCGCAACTATAGTGGCACCTCCCCGGTGCTGGCTGTTTCCATACGGTGCAAGACAAGAAAGCCAAGAGGTGCATGGGGGAGGTAGGGGGAAAGGTGCATAGGGCAGGGAGGAGAGCGGCCCAGAAAAAGTAGCACGGCCGGGAGGGAGGGGAGGAATGGCGGTGGCTTTGCCGCTGCCCGCCCAGCTGGAGAGGAGAAGCCCGGTGGGGGAGGGAAGCAGCCGCGATCGCCGCCTGTTTGCCGGTGGCAGCAAAAGGGAGGTATCCAGGCCCCGCCGGGAGGTTGGCATCTGCGCCCCGCCTAGGGCGCAGAAACACCTCGGGTTGGCCCTGACTGTTGGCCTGTTCAGGCAAGTTGGTGGTTCATCCATGAATGGCCACAGGAACAGCGCATGCCTCTGGATGACTGTTGTAATTAGAATTACACCCTTTCTTTTTCTGTACACTCCTAAAAACACAAGAGAAACCATGCTGGATCAGGCCAATGGCCCATCTAGTCCAATGTTCTGTGTCACACAGTGGCCAAACTCCAGGTGCCATCAGAAGGTCCACCAGAACTCCAGAATCCCTCCCAATGTTGTCCCCCAAGCATCAATTCTTGCCCTGACCAAAGTATAATGATTTTCAGTTGTGCTGCCAGGAGATGCACCCCCCTCCAGTCTGGAGGGAGGGTTGTACTAAAAGGAATGACAAGAATGCCCATTGGGAACAAGGGGAGATGACTAGAGTCCCATATACTGGGAGCCAGGTGTGCCAATTGACTAGCATGGACTCCACTGAAGTACACTGAAGCACTGCAAAGAAAACAAAAGCAATGAAAATACAGAACGGATTTAAGAACTCTGCTCATGACTAGGAATGACAACCCCCAGAGTGGAATGACAGTCCCTGAATTCTGTGCTCAGGGACTAGAATGATGGTTCTTAGGAGCAGCATAAATGCAAGATAGGGTTGGCAGCTCCAGGTCGGGAAATATCTGGAGAATGTGTACTTTGCAGCTGGAGATTATGGTAATCATGCAGCTTGCTCACCAACCCCCACCATAACACTGACAACGTGTTTCATGTGCAATGTGTGCATTTGAGAGATCATATATTAAACCAGTTTTGTTTAACAGTTAATACTGTGCCGGTAAATTTTCATTTATGAATCCTTCCTGTAATTGCAATAGTGAACAGTGGGTAGGAGTGTGTGTGGAGTGTGGCTGGAGGTCTGGGGTGCCAAAGGGACAGCAGGAAGCAGAGATCTGCTCACCTGTGCCTGAGATAACCTAGTGAACCAGAGTAGGGCTGCCAGCCTCCCCCCACTGGAGGTAGTGGATTCCCTGCCACCAGGCCCCACCTCCCCACCAATCAGCTGGCCAGCAGAGGGATTCACTAGGAGAAGAAGGGAAGCTCAGCCTATGTCACTGGCAACATGGAGACATCAGTTCCAGTGTGTACCAGAAGTTTTGTCATCATATTGGTGACACTCTGGTGTTTGGGCAAAAATTCTATGGTAGAAGCCATTTTTACCATAGAGTTTTTGCCCAAACACCAGAGCATCACCACATCATTATTGACATGATGATGTCACATCCGGTACATGATGTCACCACATTGCTGGTGATGTAGCATGGGCCTCCCTTCTACTCCTGGTAAGTCCCCCCCCCCAATCCCCCACTGGTTGCCAGGAGGGCCCCAGCAACTCAAAGCCAGAGTCAGTCAGAGTACTTGTCAAGATGGACAAATGGCTTGATGTTATTTGAAAAGATTTAGATATTAAGATCTTTATATAGGAAAGTACACGTCACCTAGAGCAGTGGTGGCAAACCTATGGCACGGGTGCCAGAGGTGGCACTCAGAGCCCTCTCTGTGGGCACGCGTGCCATCGCCCCAACCAGGCCCAGACCATAATTAAAATGTCGAATTCTCTGCCAAATAATTTTAAGTAAATGAAAGCATTTGGGATTCCTTTCCTTACTTTGTTTGGATCATCTTAAGTTAATGTATGAGTTGTTTTTTCTAAAGTAAAACCTCAGTGTTCAGGTTAAATTGCCATGTTAGCACTTTGCAATAAATAAGTGGGTTTTGGGTCGCAGTTTGGGCACTCGGTCTCTCGCTGTTACTCAAAGGCTTGTGATTCCCATTACGGCCTGTCATTCGCACTCACAGAACACTGACGCTACACCCTGGGACCGTTATTCCACTTATTGGGTTATCATTCCAGTTCTAGAGCTCTGATTCCACTCCCGTTCAACTCTGTGGGTTGCCATTCCAGTCCCACAGGACTGATTCCACATCCAGGAACCACGATCCATTTCTAAATGTGACTCTACAGAGAACCTGTGAAACAGGAATCCAGAGCTCTTGGCTATCAACATCAGGACTACGGTTGCCAGGTCTTCTCTGGCCACCAGCAGTGGGAAAGGTTGCCAGGTCCAGGTTGAGAAACTCCTGCAGATTTGGGGGTGAGCTTGGGGAGGGCAGGGACCGCAGTGGGTTACAATGCCATAGGAGAGTCCACCCTCCAAAAGCAGCCATTTTCTCCTGGGGAACTGACCTCTGCAGCCTGGAGATGAGCTGAAATTCCAGGAGATCCCCGGGTCCCACCTGGAGGATAGCATCCCCAATTCAGGGCCCACACAGATTTCCTACCTTATACTCTCCAGAAGCCTCCTCAGCAGGCATCACCTCATGATCTTTGTGTTCCTTGGATCTATCGCAGACGACGCAGATGAGGGTCTCATCGTTTCGGCAGAAAAGTTTCAGGCGCTCCTGGTGTTTCTTGCAAACTTCCTCCTTCACTTCTTCCCCATTTCCCCCCTGAAGATTGATTTTCTTCACTATTTCCACAACATTTGCCAGCTGCCGGTTAAGCCGGAGGTTCCCTGGCTGAGCTTTCCCTCTACACACTGGGCAGGAAGCCTCGCCCCCCGACTCCCCCCAGCTCTGGGTCAGGCAGGCCCGGCAGAAGCTGTGGCCGCACTCCGCTACGGTCACCGGGTCTCTGAAATAGTCCAGGCAGATGGAGCAGGTGACTTCCTCGCAGAGCTCTTCCACGGGACACCCAGATGCCATGGCTGCCGCGGCACACGGAAGAGAGAAGAGTTACTAGTTTCACTTTTCTCTGTTTGCAAAACAGGCACTGGGAACTTCCCTTCCTTCAAATGCTTCGGGATTTCTGCTGATTTGCAATCAACTGAATGTGGCCGTCGCAATGAACTGAACAGCCTCAAGAGAAGGCAAACAGATTTTTTATTTAAAAAAGATTGATTGATTCACTAAGAAAAAAAAATGGAAGAAGTATGTTCATCATACCATCCCATAAAGGAATGCCTAGGATCAGTCTGGGCCACTGCCCTGAGTGAGCCTCAAAGAGTTTTGTGCCCAGACTTCCGGCTGGCAATCACAAGGCATGGAGGAAATCCCCACCCCACCCACACTCACCAGGGTGAGCTGGTCAAAAAGAAAAAAGGCACCTCATTAGGGGTGCCAGCTTCCAGGTGGGACCTGGGGGTCCCCTGGATCGATAGCTTATCTTCAGGCTACAGAGATGAGTTCCCCTGGAGAAAATGAATGCTTTGGAGGATGAACTCTGTGGCATTGTACCTCACTGAGGTCACTGTGGGGTTTGGTGTAATGGTTAGGAGCACAGACTCTAATCTGGGAGAACCAAGTTTGATTCTCCACCCCTCCACAAGCAGTTGCTGGTGTGACCTTGGGTCAGTCACAAGTTCTTTCAGAGCTGTTCTCTCAAGGGCAGTTCTCAAGAAAGCTCTCTCAGCCCCACCTACCTCACAGGGCGTCTGTTGTGGGGAGAGGAAGGGAAGGAAATTGTAAGCCACTCTAAGACTCTTTCAGGTAGTGAAGGGCGGGGTATAAATCCAATCTCTTCTCTTCTTCTTCCCCAGGCTCTACCCCCAACTCTCTAGGAGTTTCCTAACCTGGGTCTGGCAACCCTACCTCTAATCCCCCACTAGTGCCTAGGAGGGACCTGGCAACCCTACACCTAAGCTCACCCCAGGAGGTTTCTTGCTCTTGCTCTGTCTGGGCTTCCTTAACTGCAGCATTGTTTACATTTACAGAACTATCCACATTCACTAGTGATCCGGTTTCCTCCACTTTACTATGGTGCTTCTCAAAAATGGTCTGATATTCTCATTTTTAAAAGGTAAGGTCACAATAAAACAGCCAGTGAACCCTGTGTGGGTGAAAAAAATGTGCATGTTTGCAGGTCCCACCACCACCACCTATGTCAGTACTGTTTTCTGTACCTCATTCATCATGGCTGCCATTCCAACCTCCCCCGCCCCATGCCTTTGGGGTGGTGTGTTGTTGTTTTTAAAAATCCATAATACCTAGATCATGATTGTCAGGTTCCACAGCCAACAACGGAGTACACGCTTATCAGAAAGGTTATACTTTATTGAAGAGCTATAGATGCATTAACAGAAGCACTGTTAAGAATAGCGTCGCCCCTACAAGCATAATGGGATATAGGGCATTCGTATGCACCCCCTCCTTCCATAGGCCAATTAGCCATATTCCCGCGTGCGGGAGAAGGAGCCCCAGACCATTAGAGCCAAAGCTGGGAACTGATAGTGCTTCCACGGTTTTCCCTTAGCGCCATACACTACACCACTTAGAGATAACAGCGTTACAGCAGAGAAGAAGCACAGAAGGAATGCAGCAGTAATTAGTACACAGAAAAGGGAAGCCTATGGCCTCCTGAACTATCAGGGCAGCATAGCTGACAATGATTAGAGGCAAGGGACTAGCTGCACATTTCTCCCTATAACTCCACAATGAAAAGGACTACAGACTTGGTTCTTACTTAGTGGATGGTGCAAACAGTGTTGCAGTGGGACATTGCACAGATGAAGAAGAAGAGATTGGATTTATACCCCACCCTTCACTCAGAGTGGTTTGCAATCCCCTTCCATTCCCCTCCCCACAACAGACACCCTGTGAGGTAGGTGGAGCTGAGAGAGCTCTTTCGAGAACTTCTCTTGAGAGAGCAGCTCTGATAGAACTATGGCTTGCCCAAGGTCATCCAGCAGCTGCAAGTGGAGGAGTGGGGAATCAAACCCGGTTCTCCCAGTTTGTGCACTTAACCACTACACTAAATTGATGTAATGTGGTCCAGGCAATGCAGGTCCTTTTTTTCCTGTTGGAAATAAAACCACAAGCAAAGGTCACTTGGTTGGAATGGAGGAGTATGGATATGCCCTCTGAGTTATTTTGTTCCTCAAAGCAAAACTAGACATTCGCTTTCTTGGTGTGTCCAGGTTTATCATGGGATAAAAGGACAAGTCCTTTTATGGATCAAAAACTGGCTAATTAATAGAAAACAGAGAGTGAGTATAAATGGGCAATTTTCTGAGTGGGCGTCAACATGGCAAATGGGGTTCAATGTGGCCAAGTGCAAGGTGATGCACATTGGAGCTAAAAATCCTAATTATAAATACACATTGATGGGGTCTGAACTGGCAGAGACTGATCAAGAGAGAGATCTTGGAGTTGTAGTAGATAACTCACTGAAAATGTCGAGACAGTGTGTGACTGCAATAAAAAAAGGCCAATGCTATGCTGGGGATTATTAGGAAGGGTATTGAAAACAGATCAGCCAATCCTTGGTAGCCTGGCTCAGGTGCTGGATATGGCCCCTGTGCTGGATATGGCCCCGTAGGCCCCGGTGGGTAGCCAGGGTACGGGCCGGGAGCTGGGGGTCCTCCTGGCTGTTGGGTATATGGTGGGTACGGGGCAGTAGGGCCCGGGCCGGGATATGGTGGAGGATTTTCGTAGTTCATGTAGGATGCGAAGTGTTTCCTAAGAAAAGGGAAGCACAACAACAGATTTAGCTCTGGCTTGTTTTCCTTCGTCGTGCATAAGCAACAAGCACCACTGTTCTCCACTTCTACAGACGACCACACTTCTAAGCAAATCCACCTCCTCTGCTTCGCAGAATCATTTGTGCATCATTTAAAATATAAACACTTTCAGGAAGAGGACTTTTGTCTGATAGTGTTTGTTCCTGCACAAGGTTCTATTAAATCATTAACGAGATAAAGCACTAAGAGGCAGAATGTTTCCAGTCTCTATTTGAAGTAACTCTAAAACGAGGGTGACTGCTGAACTACAAACAGCTGGGGGAGGCTCCTCCCAGCCCTTTTCCCATGCTGCTCTGCATGCACAGGATGGTCAATGTGGAGCAGTAAAAACAGGGAAGTACCTTATACACAAACACTGTTTCAGATTAGAAAATAGCTGGAGGTAGCATTTCTCCTTTTTTAAAAATAGCCATATTCTGCAGCTGCTGCCAAGTTACAACAAATGCAATTTCATAGAATCATAGAATCACAGAGTTGGAAGGGGCCCTACAGGCCATCTAGTCCACCCCCCTGCCCAATGCAGGATCAGCCTAGAGCCCAATGCAGGAGCAGCCTAGAGTATCCCTGACAAAGGGTTTCTCCAGAGGCTGCTTAAGGACTGCCAGTGAGGGGGAGCTCACCCTAGGCAGCCAATTCCACTGTTGCACAACTCTGACTGTAAAAAATTACTGTAAATTTGGCTCCTGGGAATCCAGACCAAGCTCTTAACCAAAAGCAGACGTCTAGTTTGGACCCTGTGGCTCTCTGTGTTCCTAAGTTCTTCCTGTCCTGACTGAGCACTTTTAATTTACCAGGAGCTCTTGGTTCATCATCATCATCATCATCATCATCATGAAGAGGCGGAGGAGGAGGAGATTGAATCTATACCCTGCCCTTCACTCAAAGTCTCAGAGAGGCTTACAAACTCCTCTCCCTCCCCCTCCCCACAACAGACACCCTGTGAGGTAGGTGGGGCTGAGAGAGCTCTTTCGAGGACTGCATTTGAGAGCAGCTCTGACAGAACTTGCTGTTGATTTTAGCTATGTGAAAATTTCAGTCTGTTTTTATTCTGAAGATGCATTTGACTGTGATATATTGATCGGTATTTATTACACGATGCTCTTTTAATTTAGCTTCTCTATGGCCCCGGTCACGCGTGCCGGATAACGCAGGGGGGAGGCGTGGCTATTTGCGCCGTCGCAATTTGACTCGCCCCAATGCGATCAGACGCGATGGCGTTGTTTCCATCAGCGGGTGTTTCCGGCGCGCTCCAACCAGGAAGCAGGGACACGAGAGGAGCGCACTGGAGCAATCACACGGAGAGCGTCTGTCTGCAGCCAGTCGCAACCGGTTGACAGTGGATTTCTGTTGGGTTGATAGTGAGATACTGAAAAAATGGTATTTAGCAGAGATAAGATAGCTTAGCAGAGCTAGAGTAAAATAATTCAGACTCAGAGTCCATGTGTGATTAAAATAGAAAGTTTTTACTAAATTCTAGCATGGGGAAAGGTAACTGGGATTACAATAACAACGCAGCTAAATCTCCTACATCCTTACACTACAAAGACAAAACTAGAAGAGGGGATGGCTGCTCTTTTTTCTTCTTCTTGAGAACACCAAACAAAGACAGGAAGAGAAGCCATAAAATGGTAATACACCTTGACACTTTAGTTCCAATCAAACTCCTAGATCAGGGAGAAAATTCCCGGGCTTGCTACATCTAAAGAAACATTGGTTACACGAGAAACATGTGACTTCCTGTGAGCAACACAAACAAACATTTAACCCCAGATATAATGAGTGTTTTCAACTTGTACCACCAATTTCCCCAGGTACTTTTAAACTCTGCATCTTCGGCCGGGCGATACTGGTTGGTGACGGGTGCACAACACTTACCAGATGTTTCTGTGTGATCGCACCCATATAATCCGCTTGGCAATCGTGGCTCTCCCGCAGCAACTTCTGCGTGTGACCGGGACCAAGGTGGTTTTTTAATTATTATTAATGCCTAAACTCATCATTAATGAAAAAAGAACATGCATCTTACAATATATACAAAAACTCTCATGAAATCTAATAAAAAAACTCACTCAACTGATACACACCATGTATCACTGATCTGCTATTATAAAGTATTAAAGAGACAATAGAGGAAAAGGGGACCTTGCACCAGAATCCCTTAGAATGTTACTATTGGGATATTTGTGA